AAATTACAGACCTCGTGAAACAACGTGGCGCCGAGCGTATGATTAATTATAGTAGCAGCGCCTTCGATCTCAACGGAAATCTTGTTCTCCAGCGCAGTCTTGGCCTTCTCATCAGACACACGCAGCTGCAATTCTCCCGTCTCGAGTTCCTGCTCCACTTTCTTCTTCACTCCAGCGCTGCCGCTCAATGTACTAGTGCGAAGGGGAAGTAGAGATAACGTCAGCTTCTGTATCATCTTTCCAGTGTAGCGGGCACTGCCATCTAACACAGACAATCAAGTTTTAGCGTACCTATTAGTTGCGGCAAAAAGTGAGCTCCCGATTGAAAATATTCTTCAAACTGAGCCCCCGATTGGAATTTTCCTTTATTTTATGCTAATAGCATAAGATTGTGAACTCTTACCCCATGTTTACACGCCTGACCAGGTCCAATCGACTAAGATACGCCTGGTTACAGGTGGAATGGCCTCCAGCAAACCGCCAAACTCCTTCATATCCCTTTAACCTGGCCTTGATTAGCTCATTCCATCTTAAAGCAGGCTCACCCGGCGGAGATGAGAAAACCTTAATTAACATGGAATTAGCTGACCACAAGGCAGAATTACGGCTGATAAGGGAATAGCATTAAGCCAGAATTATCGCGGCAGAATTTCGGAAAGGCACAATAGCTCACGCATCTAATTAGTGTTCGTACCAAGTGGAAATCATACGGGCTATGACGGGTGAGTTGCTAAAATCGTATTTTCAACCGGATTTTGGCAGAATATGACACTCGGCAATAGGACAATAGTATTGAAAAATGGATTGATATCTGCTCTGGCAACGCCACAATTTGTACTGTACCAATATGTGTATTGATTTGGTCAAAATAGTATACTTGGTTAAAACAAAGCCAACGTCAGCGATATGATTATTGTTCTATTAGGCGAGTCAATACGAGTTCGAGGTGGGTGAACGTCGTAGAGTGTGTGCGGCGTTTGAAGATTGCCAGATGATCGTGAACGATGTGCAAGTGGCAAAAGTTGTCAAACTCAGGACAAGACGACGGAAGATAGCCCTTGATCGGTGATCTTTGAGTAGGGGGTCGCCAGTGTGGGTGACTGTGTGCCGTTAGTAGGCGAAAAGGGTGCAAATATGCAGTGTGAAGTGGTGTGCTCTCTTCGAATCCTGCACCAGAGCAAGCAGGACGCGATGGACGAGTGCGGTTTGGCGGTGCCGAGTGCGGACATTGGCAAGGTTTGGACGGTGTGAGCGAGAAGCCACGACTGGAAGGGCGGGCGGAGCGGCATATCTGGTTGCGGGCGGTACAGTGTCTGGTGGTGGTAAAACAAAAGATTGAAGACGCATTGATTTTTTATTTCATGAAAACATAGCCAAACGAATGACCAGATATGTGCTTCAAGCAGTGTTGTGTAAGTTGTATACTCTCGTCTATTATAGCTTATAGTCAAGCCTCATAAATTGAGGATGTTTTTCATTTTCCCTCTATTAGCTTATTAGAGGGATCAGGAGGCAAGTCAATAGAAGGGACATGGTTTTCTTTAGTATAAGTAAGTATAAATGCACGTATCCATATTACCATAGACAACCTAGTTTTTTTTTTTAATATCAAGTGTTGACACTTGGAACTGGTTCGCGTGTAGAATTCCTTCTAGGGAGAAATCGGTTAGGGATTGACGATATTCATCCATTCCCAGCCAATGATTGAAAAATCAGACTCTACCGAAGCAGTGTTGGGGAAAGATGTAGCCAGGGCCCCACAAACGCTCTGCAGCGTCTGAAATCGCCCGCTCACGAGCTTCCTGGCTTGTTCAAAACTTGTTTTACTGTCGTTGCACTTGAACAAATGAATCTCTCTGGTGGTCACTTTCAATCTGTGTAATTTGTTCAGTGCTCCACCCAGCAGCCTTCAGTATAGGTTTATATTGTTTAAGGAGTCTGCATATGTTTGCTGTCCGAAGTTTTGATAGTTTTACTTCAGACAGTGCTGCAGACGTTTCAGGGTGCCGTTCAGAGATTTCTAAACCATACTTGGGATCGTGTCCTCCCTGGAATGGTGTCGTCAACGCTCGCGGCAAGTCGCTACTTAATCCCGTGTGGCTAGAAGCACTATAAGTTATAGTACTTCAGTACCGACGGTATTCGGTTCGATTCTCAGCAAAACCTAAATTGAAAAGACCTGTTTTAGAAAGTTTTCAGGGCGTCTATTACCGGTTATTGAATTTCTAAAAGAACAAATTTGGTTAAATTTAAAAGGAAAGGAATGATAATTGGCGCTTTAGCGCTCGCAGATGAGACTCAGGGTGGTTAGTAGCCAAGCTAATGACCTAGGGCAGCAAAATTGGCCAATCACCACCCTGTAACGCGTTCCGGTACTAAAAACGTTAACACAGTGATAGGGAAGCTGGCACTTCCTAAAGTGTTGGTCGTCGAGTATATTCAAAAGTGAGGAAGACAGAGCGAGAACTCTGACATCCCTCATGTCTAGCGTCTTCTACAGATCGTTCTCTTCTATAGATTTTGCTTAACTCCTGACTACTCATGGACTCCATGAGTAGCGTACCAGCTGGGCGAGTGCTCTGCAAAAGCCCAATGCAATGTGAGCAAGGCTTGCATAGTCACCTCACACTACAATTCCCTCCCAAGCCTTGTTCACAGACTAAAGCGTTAATTGGGTATTCGGTGTACCTGATTATAACTTATAACCAGGACAGACTTGAGGTTACTTCGTAACCTCATACTTATAACCAGCGGGTTAAATTTTTTTTGGTTATAATGTAACCTATAATCAACAGGTTACAGCAATACATAAACGCTGTAGCAATGACGTAACCACAGGTTACTCTCCTTTGAAACAGATTCACTTTTCCAAGTACAATTCATAACAAACATGCAACCAACTGGTTACGTTCTTGTTAGAAAGTATCTTGTTACAGTTTACTTGCAGCTATGCATCTCATATGCAGCTTATGCAACTTCTTTGACTCTAATACCAACTTGGTACTCTAGTCTACTCATGACTTTGATACCCACTGTATATCATCGTCGATTTGCATCTAGCGTGTTGTCGCTATTGATGCACTGCACACACGCCAAATCACGCCTTCAGCCAGTCATAGTGCTCTGTGAGCTCCTTGGCATTTCCCACATACTACATCTGCTCGGAAAATAATGCACTTATGTAGGCGTACACAATTCCTCCTAAATTTTATGCGTTTGAATCTCCCGCCCATTTTCAAAACAGATCACTTTCGAAATCCTCCCCCTCCGCTCGAATGATCAAGTTAACAACTCCGAGCGACAAGCGTTATGGGAGACACTCCTCCTACGGAGCACCAGAGGGAAGCTGAGGCATGGAGACCACAAGATCGTCGCGGAGCAATTTAAGATAAGTCGCTGGGTGGTATCGCGAGTCTGGAAACGAGGGATCCGGTCTATGAGCGAGCGAGTTGCTGCAGTTGTTACGTCTCGAGCGAGTCAGCGAGGAAGAAAGATGATGGACCGGGCTGAAATCCGCAAGCGGATTTACCAGACTCGTGTTGCGGATAGAAACAACTACAGGACGGTTGATGAAGGTGCTGGCTTGACTCCGTACATGATCCGGCAGCTGCAAAGAGAAGGCTACCTACGCCGCGCTCTCACTCAAACTCCCGTCTGACCGAGAAGCACTAGGCAGATCGTCTAAAGTGGTGTATTCTCCACGTAACCGAATCTTCGGATCGTCAGCCAGTCTACGCCCCGACGTACGACACCGTCCACGTGAACGAAAAGTGGTACTACGTCAAGAAGATTGGACAGAAGGTCTATCTGTTGACCGGTCAAGATGGGACACCCTGTGAAGATGCTCCCGTACTGTTTGTGCAGAGCAAAAGGCATATCATATTCTCAAGGTGATGTTCCTGTGTGCAATAGCACGTCCACGTGGAAACTGGGATGGCAAGATAGGGACGTGGCCTGTTGTGGAGAAGTATGTGACCCAGCGAAGGAGCGATAACAGTGATGCCGGTGTGGAGGAGCTGCGCCCCACTTCGATGACCCGTGAATTCTACCGACGCATGCAGCTTGAAGATGTGATCCCTGCAATCAAAGCCAAGTGGGAGTGGGCGAAGGACGAAGGGGCTGGGCGTTCCTCTTGTAAGTCCAATTTGGGTACAGCAAGATAACGCCAAGCCACATGTGCTGCCTGATGACCCGAGGTGCTGGTGGCTGGGTGTGCTGGCGGCTAGAGCATTCTCTTTAGAAACCAGCCTGCGCAGAGTCCAGATCTAAACGTCCTTGATTGCGGTTTTTTTTCAACGCGATCCAGTCGCTGCAGTCGGTGACGGCCCCAAGAACAACCGAAGACCTCATATCGGAAGTAGAGATGGCGTTTGCGTCTACTACTACCACTACGCTGAACAAAAC